TTCTCTGACTGAAATTCAAAACCCAGTTCATAAAACCTCTCAAAATTGACATAAAATTCATCACTCAAAACTTAATCAGCATATTAAACTACAACTAATCAGCAAACTACAATCAATAATTCAAAAGAAAAAAAAATAAGAAATTAAAAAAACTAATCAGAGAAATGTAATCCACCTGAAGTCCCAGGGAGCTCCGGTGGCGAAAGCAGAGAGAAGCAGAAAAGCTGAGAGCAATTTGGAACTGAAAATTGTTGAGGAGAAAGAAGAGACTGATAGGTAATTTCGTCGAAACGACGACTGTCGTTTTCGTGGCGAGACTTAAGAGTCCTCCGCCACTGCCCGTGACTGTTCGATCGCGAGCTCGTCCAATCGGACAAAAAAAACCCGCGGGAATTAAAACATGGGATTACGCGTCGCGAGATAGTTGGTGGGGTTAGTGCAGTGCGTGGGTGAGGTTAGTGGCCGTTGGATCGAGTGCGGGGGAAAATCCTGGCCGTGGAATTTATTAAAATGCGTGGCGCGTATCTAACCGCCCTTTGTATTTTGTAATCTGGAAACTGGAACGGCGGTCCAATAAAAAGGCTATAGCCGCCTGGGCCTAGGCCGGTGTTGAATATTTTTTTCACCTTTTCGGTTGGTGTTCACTTTTCAATTGGTCTTGACCCCAAAAACCCGTGTCATATTTAATACATTATTTTGAATTATTTTTGAACTTTTTCGTTTTGAATGCATTTTTGTTCATTTATTTTTTGTGAAGCTTGTAACCTTAAAAATACTTCATCTTTAGGCTTAGCTTTATATATAGAGATTGGTACTGTCTATTTGTTAGTATCTGTCAAATGGTTAAAAATTCGTACGTATGACTCAATAGATTGAAAGTCTTACAAGAAAAAACTTATTTCTACCTCTACCATCTGCAACAAAAAATACTATAATTTATGCTATTTCGAAAACTAGCAATGGGACTTTTTATGATATTCTATTTCTATTCCAAGCATGCCATCAACAGATAATTCCTTTTGAATTCCACGCGTTGAGTATATAATTGTCCTCTAATTTAGTTAAAGAATGACCTAAAAGGTTTATCTTTTCAAATTAAATGCAAATGTCGTTAACATCTTTCTTCTTTATAAATTACTAGCACTACCACTCAATGCTACGACCTAGTGGTATTCTTCTTCGCTTGGAAATGAGAAATCTTAGATTTGAATTTTGTGGACGGCTAATTTGATACCAAATTAAGTTGCCCATTGTGTGACTTAACCGAACTCTCCCTCTTCCTTGTGTAAAATATTGATGTATTAAAAAAAAAAGAATTACCAGCACTACCTTTTCATTAATATGGCCAAACGGTAAAAAAATTGTATGTACGAATCAACTAGTTTAATGAAGTCTTGCAACAAAAATCCTATACTCTACCTCAACTTTTTGCAACAAAAAACACTTCATTACGCTCTTTTAGGAATCGAAGGTGATATTTTTCATAATATTCTTTTGCTAATTTCAGCATGACATTAACAAAGGATTTCTTTGTTTTTCAAATTCAATGTCACGTTTATCTTCAAATTTGAGAAAAATGAAAGTCATATATGTTGCCTTTTCATTGAGGAATTTATATCATCTATTTGCCTTTATATTAAAGGTAATTTAGGTTAATGTAAATAACTTTTTTTTAAATAATTATGACCCTTTACAACTTAGGATTGGGTATTTTTCTTCACCTGTAATTTATATCATCTATTTGTCTTTATATTAAAAGTAATTTAGGTTAATATAAACAACCTTTTTTAATAATTATGACCTTATACTACTTAGTACTAGGTATTCTTTTTCGCTTGCAACTTGTAAGTGAGAGATTTTATGTTTGATTATTTAAATATTTGATAATATTTTTAGAACTAATCTTTAGTAAGAACACAAGTGAATTATGAAAAAACACTTGAAGTTCTTCGATAACTCAAAATCATTTTCTCTAAAAGCGCTTCCAGTAATTTAAAAAACACTTTCAAACGAGTCTTACATGTTATTTATGTACACTTACAAGAAGGTGACTTAAACTTAGAGATAAGAGCAGTGAACACACTATTTTAGTTAATTTGATTAAGTCTAAGTCTGCGAAATAGTGGCCATCTAGAAACCAGAAAAAGGAAATAATATAAGACTCAAAGAAAGTAGTCGTGGGGAGCACCGATAGTGTTTCCTTTTTAAATGAACCATTGAAGATAATTAAAAGAAAAAAAAAAATCAGATTTAGTAATATTGTAGAGATGATTTTCTTTTTCGGAAGCATATCCTCTTCGGACTTACATCGATGCTCAGGGACTGCCAAAATTATTTGATTCCTAAGCTCCGGAGGTGTAAGTTCAGGGAGGATTTGCTTCCTTTTTTTCTTCTTCCACCTATTTAAGAGTGCAGATGAAGGAGCAGAAATGTCAGAAACCGCGTTTTGCAGTTATATATTCGTATTTGCAACAATAATTTATTCACTTAATTTTTCCAATTAAATTAAATAATGTTCTCCGTCTAATTCATGCACTGCCCACCATCTCTCAAGATTTCTGTACCCAACAGCAAGATTACAGGGAATTTCCGATCTCTTCCTCTTCACCTTTGTTATTCCCGATTAAGCAGTCTTGAATCAAGGTAGGCCTAGGGGCGGATGCCCCCACTTATTTAAAAAAAAATGTATGATTACGTTCCAATTTTCAATAAACAGTCCTAATTAAACTACAATTAAAAAAATTAGTAGGCAACTAAACTAGTCTACCGTTTTGGGATCCCAAATACCCTACCTGATGACAATTTAATTAACAATTAATTTAATTGTGCCTCTCCGTTTTTCTAACTATGGCAATGCAATTCCAGTCCTCAACTTTTCCACTATGGCAAAGCAGTTCTAACTAGGTCGTTAATCCACATAAAACTCATCCCACTATGGCAAAGCAATTCCAGTCCTCAACCTTTCCAAATTTTTCCTCCCCTTTCATTAAACCAAAACTCAATTGAATTTGGAGTGTTATAGACAGTTGGAGTTCAAGTAATCAATTATCAAAATTCAACACAAGAATTTTACTCCACAATGTATTTTATACGACTTTACTTCATTAATTTGTTTTTGGCATTTCAATTTAGAATTTAGCTTTCTAATTTAGAGATCAATGTATGAATGATAATATGATTATTTTTATAGAAAAAGATATTTAATAGTATTGGTAATGATTATTATGCAACGTTTTCAAACCATGAAAACGATTAAGGAATATTGTAATATGTTGTATGAAAAACTTTACGGATTAATATATTAGTGTTTTGTTCAATAAATTCTTGAGATTTTTAACTGTGACTTTGTTGTTTGAGGATACCCCCGCTTATACAAATCTCTGGCTTCGTCCCTGTCTTGAATGGTTGATTGTTCAAGTCCCATGCGAAAACAATAAACCTGCACTCTATCTGTTTGATGTATTGCGTTAGAGGTAGGGAAGGGCAAATACCCATCGGTTATGAGTAACTGCGGTTACTAGCCCATTTAAATTTCACGGTTAGGGTTATGGGTATAACCGTTTATCTGTGAAATTTAAATGAATGGTTATGGGTATTGACTGCGGTTATAAACGGATAACCGTTTACCCTTTTATCCGTTTATTTCATATATGTAAAATTAACACAAATCATGTTCTCTATCGAACAGAACTAAAATCAATGCTATTGACTAGTGCATGGTTTATGTAGCTAATATAATATAGTTTTCCTTAACTGTCACATCCCGCCCCGAGCTCGACTCCACCGTAGCACGATATTGTCTGTTTTGGGCCTCTACCACACCCTCATGGTTTTGTTTCTGGGAACTCACACGAGAACCTCCTAGTAGGTCACCCATCCTAGGATTGCTCTCGAGCGTTACTCGCTTAACTTCGGAGTTCCGATGGAACCCGAAGCCAGTGAGCTCCCAAAAGGCCTCGTGCCCCTGGCGATATGGGATGTCACATTAACCACTCAGTAAACTATTATTTCAATTATTGGAATGGTATAAGGACTTCAAAAATTAAAATGCGGAAATATATGATGAATGTCTCTATAACGGTGTTTAATTATCCGAAAAAGAAAATTATGACAAATTTTTGTTTTTTAATTTTCAAGTTGTTTAAAAAACATGCAAACGGATGAAAAAAGGGTAAATGGTAAAAAAAGAAGGGATAAATGGGTTAAAGAATGATAAATGGGTAAACGGGTACTAAACGGTTACAGTTATATGGATATGCGGTTATGGGTATGGTTAACCGTTTATAAACGGTTATGGGTATGGATATAATCGTTTAGACAATTACCCAACGGATAAACGGTTATACGGGTATAAGCATAAATGGTTATGGCTAAATAACTGCGATTATCCGCCCGCCATAACCGTTGGCCATCCCTAGTTGCATGTGGTTGAAATGATGAACAGTTATCATTTTCATAGACATCAGTTCCTTGGTCGTGAACAAACTACAATGCATTAACCGAAAGCAAGAGATTTGACACTGTTTGAATGGAATTGGTCACGAGGACAACAATAAAAAGTAGAGAGCATGGGGATTGAAAGAGTATTGTTTCGACATTGCCTTCCACTTCTGCGTTATGCATTGATGTCCTTACTAAGATTAGCAAAGAGATTTCTTCGGAACAGTTAATTCCTCGGATTAATAAGGTTTGTTAACCTCGTCGCTATCAAGCTTTGAGTTTCAACAATTACATTTTTGAACAAGCAATTCCATATCCTTGCGAGTGATGCTTAAAGCAGCATTTTAATGGAAATGTTCACTTGGTGTGGCAAAAAAAACAATAAATATGATACGATTACCCTTATTTTTGTTCAAACATACAACGACATAAGAATAGGTCCATGAACATCAAATTGGTACGACATAAGAAGCTACGTACGCATTAATTTAGAAAAGTGATTTTCGCATGATTGGTTGCATCTAAGGTCAAAAAATACAGAAGTGCAGAGAAGAAAAAGATTTGCGGGAATCACTTCTCTTTATTTACAACACACACTTCAACAAAGCCATTACAAGTAGACACTGCTTCCCTATCAAATATAAAATCACACTCTTGAATACTTTATTTTGTTGGAACATCTATTACACTCCCTTGAAGGAAACCTGAGATTGAAATGCAAACTCTGTACTCTCTCAAAGACTAGGCTAGACTTCCAAGGATATGGCGAGGGAGAGACTTGCGGTCGTTGATGCTTAAAGGACAGATTTATAAGAGCGGGGCAGATTTGTAAGAGCACGCTGTTTGTATGAGAGTGAGTGCGAGGAGAATACCAGCAGCAACAAAAGAAATACCGGCCCAAAGCGTGTTAAAATATTTTTGTTTCAAAATTACCATCCATCCGTGCCAGGGATTTTTGCGGTAATCTTTCAGCTCTTTACAAAGAGGGGCATAATAATGGTTGTGAAGCATCATCCCGGTGCCAAGGTCATGAAGCCAAGTAGATATCTTCTCGGTATCACCTTGCCAATTTTCAATGATTTCCTTCTCAACAAGCAATTGCACATCCTTTGGGGTTTTCGCGAGAAGCCCCATAAGGAAAACATAATTAGCTAGGAAATCCTCCTCTCCGTGATGACATTGTTCAAAAGCAAGGAAATTTCTGAGTGTCAGCTCCGTGGTATCGTTCACTGTTAACTTTGGAATTTCGAGGATCCCACGCGAGAATTTGATGTCAAATAAACTGCTACCGTTTCTTACCTCAAACTTGACTCCAACCTGGTGTAGCTTTGTCACGTTGGGTGTGGCTGTGATGTTGTATTTGTCTGTGGATTTCTTTTTTGGTTCCAACGGTCGGTATAGAATTCTTATCAGATCAACAAAATGCTTTACTTCTTCTCCAGAAGAAAGTAGTTTGGAAAAATTCTCTTTTTTTCCCTTGCCATCAATTTCTTTTTTGAAAAAATGGTAGGAAATTTTAAGTAATGAAGGCAGCTGAGGTGAAGAAGAAAAAGCTGTGTCGAAAAGATCCCGAAGAATGAAGAATGGCAGCTGATTTTCAAGCAACCGCAAGTCTGGACGCACATCCCAAAACATCCCGGGGTTTTTCAATATGTAATCATCTTCACCTTGACCGTAATCATCTTCAAGTTCCTTTGTTATGCAATAGTACCTCAATAAGAGCTCAATGACGAAGGCGGCATCCGCTAAAACAACTTCGACAAATTTATCACTTTCTTTTTTTGTTTTTTGGAATATTTTTTTTTTTTCAGACACAATGGATTCTGCATAAAAACCTCGCAAGTTTTCCACTTGGTTCGTTATCATATTTATACAATGACGGTAGCTTACCCCCGGTCGACTTAGAAAATGTCGCAGGTACCTTGTTTTGTGCTCTTCCATGGCTTTTAAGTGTTCATTGCCATGGTGAAGTGGGCCTATAGAGACTACTTGAGGTGTATACGCTTCCTCATTTCCCCGCCGTAGTCGCTTAGGAACTCTATAGATACACCGCAGATGGGACAGGGTTTTCGACTCCTTGTGAAATGGAATTTTAACGCCTGGGATCGTTATCTGCATCCATTCAAATATTTCATTAGGCACACATTCAACTAAGATACTCTCACACTCTCATTATTGATTTCTATCATTTGATTATCTTCAATTTATTCAATCCGACAATCGGAAATTAAGAGGGTGTGTGAGAAGCAAAAATGAGTGTGTGGATAGCACGTCCATTTTTTAAAGTGTCAATAACAATATTTCTTATCGAAAATGGGAAGAAATGAAGTGAATTCGCATCTGCTTTGTATACATGAAAACAAGCAAGTTTATACGGTTAATTTAGCTCTTGTAGATATGTAAGAAATCTCAATACTTTATTACTTGCTCTCCTCTGGTGTACGAAAAATAAAATTTTCTTTTAACAATACCATTTCTTCTTCATTATGTTTTTGCTTAAACATGTTTAATTGGCCAATTAATGTCATAACTCACATAGCTACCCACCCTTACTTTCCTTAACTATAAACATAAGTGGTTGATGCTAATTCTCCAATTAATAGTGAGTCTGACAGAATGTGGATTTGGAAATGGTCTCGATATTGTGCTAGCCAGAGTTACCTCACCTACTGTGCCTGATTAATTTAGCCCTCTAGCTATACATTTAAACCCTTCCCCTAATGCAACTGGAATTGAATTGCTTTCCAACTCCTATACACCAAACTCTATGCGTATTTTACTAATTACAATTAGCTTAGGATGTAATTTTACTTTGATAATGGAATCATAAGTTCAACACTATTCTAAATTTGTAAAACGTTATGAAACCCGCTTTAGACACCTATTTTGTTTTTGTTTTTTTTATTGTGAATAGAATTGTAAATAAATTTTCGGCTAAATAGCCAAAATGGTCCTTGAGATATGCATAACAGATCACTTTGGTTTCTGAGATTGGGTTGGTTTGGTATTGCTCTGCTTTGAAAAAAAACTGTTTCTGCTGTGTTATGAAAATAAGCTCATTTTTGCTGCTTCACGTTTTCAGTTTTTTTTTTCACCCAAAACTGTGAAAATAAGTTGTTTTTAAGTGTTTACCAAACACTTTTTTAAGCTCAGCTTTTTTTGATATCCACTTTTTATAAAAGCACCTCAGTACCAAACCATTACTGAAAATCAATAGAAATGGTCCCTGAGATTGTCCACCATCCATCATTTTGGTCATTCCGTTAAAACCTCTTTGGACAATTTTCAAGGCTTCGTAACACAATCGTTTCTTAACCAAATTTGACCCATAATATATCAAAATGAAGATAGGAAAGTTTAGAACAAGATTATACCTATTTAGAAGCCCAATGGTTTTGGAAATGGGCGGAAAGTAGCCTCAAAGTTGACTGATTTGCAGAAAAACTGGAAAACTCTTCGGAAACTGGGTAAACTTTAAACGTTCATAACTTCTTCAATACTCAACGAAATCGATTGATTCAAAAACTAAAATCATACTTCTCGATGCAACGAAGATAATGGTATCTTTCTAGATGGCTAATTCTGTTGGAGAGTTGACCTTTGTACGTAATTAGCTTAGTTACCTGTTTGGGTCCTTGTAATCAGGATGTAATTAGGATAGATATTATTTGATGTTTCTTTCCTTGTAAATCAATATTGTACAATATATATTTCCCTCCTTGGTGAGAAGAATAATAGTAGAAAATTAAACCCGAAAATAAGCCCTAATTAGCAAATTCACTGTAGTTTGGCTAGAAAACGGCTCGAAAATGGCTAACCATTTTCTAGTTAGCCACTTTCGAGCCATTTTCCAGCCAAACCACGAAAATTTAGCAATCGAGAAAGGTACCATTCTCTTTGTATCGTCGAGAAGTATGATTTTCATTTTTGAGTCACTCGATTTCGTTGAGTTTTGAAGAAGTTATGAACGTTTAAACTTTACCTAGTTTTCGGCAAGTTTTCCAGTTTTTTCGTGGACTAGTCAAATTGAGACTATTTCCGGCCATCTCTGGCAACCAGTGGGCTTCCAAATAGGTATAATCTTGTTTTGTGGTTAAAATATGATTGAGTTATGAAGCTTTGAAAATTGCCCAAAGAGTTTTTAACGGAATGACCAAAATGATGGATGGTGGACAATCTCATGGACCATTTCTATTGATTTTCAATCTTAGGGATCAAAGTCATGTGTTATGCATGTCTTAGGGACCATTTTGGCTATTTAGCCTAAATTTTCACATGCACGTGTGTGTATATATATATATATTTCTTTCCACATGTTTTATACCATTTAAACACCCGAAGCATCCACATGTTCTATGGTATATACAAAGATTTCTCTTTCTCATGACGCTTACTAGGGCCTTAACCTCGTACGGTTTAAAGTGCTCTTAAACCCAACTACATTTACCGTCTGGGAGATGAGAATCACTTACCATAGAACATGCAAGTTTAACACCATTCATATATTACGCCGAAGTGGTTGATTAAAAACAATATTAGTGCATGGTAGTACTTAATAGACACTTAAAAAACCAAAACATATAGATATTAAGAAGAAAGCTGCAACATTCCCTTAACCGGTAAGTACGAAACTAAAAGCTTCAAAACAATGTGCAAACATAGCACTGGAGAAGAAACAAGCAAGATGAAAGGAAAAAAAAGGATTATAAATTGAAGAATGAGTTGTTATTGGTACTAACAATAAGTCATCTAACATGGTTTGAAGTGAAATTTATTCTTTTGAAAATAAGTGCATCATAATTTTTTAAAATGTCAATAATAACAGTACTTTCAATTAAAAAAGAAGAAGAAAGAAATGAAGTGAATTCGCACTTGCTTTGTATACAAGAAAACAAGCAAGTTTGTACGGTCAATTTGCCTCTTTGTAGATGACTAAGAAAACTCAATATTTATTGCTCCTCTGGTAATTGAAAATTAAATTTTCTTTTAAAAATAGCGCAATGATAGGCTGGCTATATATATAAGCATTTCTTCTTCAATATGTTTTTGCAGAACGTGTTTAATGGGCCACATTAAATTATTGTCATGATTCATAGAGCTAACTGCCCTTGTCTTTCCTTAACTATAAACATAAGTGGTTGATACTAATTCTCCAATTAATGTAGTGACAAGCTAACATAACGTGGATTTGGGAAAAGTCTCGATATTCGATATTGTGCTAGCCCGATTTATCTCACTTACTATGCTCGATTAATTTAGTTTTCTCCTACCTGATAATGTTAATGAGAGAAAAGTTTAAACAACTCAAACTATAAATGAAGAAAAAAAAAATTTCACTTATTGCGGAATAATAATTGCTGCAAGATGGGCTAAGAGCTAATTTGAGATTGTTGTGATTTTTTAGAAATTACTTCTTCTGTACTTTAAGAATAAACATCTATGAATAAAACATGTAAGTATTTGGTAAACTATAATGTTAAAAATGCTTTTAGCAAAAAAAGATACGAGAGTAGTATTGTCAATATAAAAATTTCATTAACTGAAATTGTTCACTTGTTCCTATAAAGAAAAATATTTATTTAAACATGAGTAGAACTGCTTGTACTTTTTGTTATTTTACACCCATGATAGGAGATGAGAATCACTTACATGAGATTCCGCACTGGCTCGAAGTACAAATTCAGCCTCACTGGCTCCAACTACAAATTCAGCCGCACTGGTACTACTGGCTATTACAATGTCACCCGCACTGGTACTACTGGCTAGTTCAATGTCAGCCGCACTGGCACTAGCTTTTGTTTTTCCCAAATTCCTTGGCTCGTCCATGAGGTCCGAAGCCTGCAACAAACAACCACACCATAAATTTAACACCATTCATATATTACGCCAAAGTGGTTGATTAAAAACCATATTAGTGCATGGTTGTAATTAATAGACACTTATAAAATCAAAACATATGTATATACACGGCCAAACTATTCAATAATAGATATTAAGAAGAAAGCTGAAGCATTCCCTTAACTGGTAAGTATGAAACTAAAAGCTTCAAAACAATGAATATATGCAAACATAGCACTGGAGAAGAAACAAGCAAGATGAAAGGAAAAAAAAAGATTATAAATTGAAAAATGAGTTGTTATTGGTACTAACAATAAGGCATCTATACCAATAAGTCATCTAACACGGTTTGAAATGAAATTTATTATTTTGAAAATGAGTGCGTGATAATTTTTAAAGTGTCAATAATAACAATACTTCCAATAAAAAATGCAAGGAAAAAAAGAAGTGAATTCGCACTTGCTTTGTATACAAGAAAACAAGCAAGTTTGTACGGTCAATTTGCCTCTTTGTAGATGACTAAGAAAACTCAATTCATATTGCTCCTCTGGTAATTGAAAATTAAATTTTCTTTTAACAATAGCGCAATGATAGGTTGGCTATATATAAGCATTTCTTCTTCAATATGTTTTTGCAGAACGTGTTTAATGGGCCATATTAAATTAATGTCATGATTCGTATAGCTAACTGCCCTTCCCACGGGCACTACGTGATACTTTACTGTCAAATCGAATGATACTTTTCATGAAATTAATGTGATGATTCATATAGTTACCTACCCTTAATGTGAATCGAATAGTACCCACCCTTATCTTTCCTTGAATGATAGCTTGGTTGATGCCTTGCAAGACTCTTTACTTGTTTTTGCCACATTAACGCAGGAGACTTTTCTTTCTCGCATGTAAAGTTTCACGTAGTACTATTAGTAACTTGTTTTTGCAGAACGCGTCTAATGGGCCACATTATATTAATGTCGTGATTCATATAGCTACCTACCTTTATCTTTTCTTGACTATTAACAAAAGTGGTTGATACTAATTCTCAAATTAATGTAGTGAGTTTGATAGAACGTGGATTTAGAAGAGTCTCGATATTATACTAGCCAGATTTATCTTCCTTACTATAATCGATTAATTTAGTATTCTCATAACTAATAATGTTAATTAGAGAAATGTTTAAAACACTTAGATTAATTATACAAGAAAAAAAAATCTCACTTATGGTGAAATAATACTTGCACGGAGATGAGGTTACTGGCCTCTAAGGATGAGAGCGATGAGAGCAAATCCAGTAAATAGGATTTGCCCTAGACAATGTTTGTGGTGCAATGAACGAGCAACCTCACTTTAGGCATTTCCTATCATCCACCTCTATTATTCATATCTTTTATATTTTCCTTTCTATTTCAGCATGCAAATAATGAAATGGTTTTGTTATCCATACTTTTTTTTTACATCTACACACTCTTCTCAATTTTTTTTATCATCGAATCAAATGAATTGAAAAAAAAATTAAAGAACATAAATTAACAAAATATGTGTAGAAGATAAAAATGGTTGTAGATAGTACCACACATTATGAAATTATCTATTATTGCCAATTTTCCAATAATTTAACGTTGTACTGTTAGATTAATTTAAACAAACTATAACAGTCAACCAGTTCTCAAGTTGAGAATTGGATTCCATTCAGATTCAAATTGTGGAAATTCTAGGGATTCTCACATCTTAACCGTTCATCATATATTATGCGATCAAAAATCATTTTGAATTTTTTTATTTAAAATTAAACATAAATAATACCTAACAAAAATTGACCGTACGATATACGATGAACTGTTAAGACGTGATCATAGAAGATCCGGAGAGGATCCTCACCCCTCAAGTTGTGCACAAGTTGATGGAATGTGACAATATTTTCCGTGAAGCTTTTTGTGTAGATGGAAGATCACACGTGTTGGAAGGTTTATGGTTTGGGGTTTTAGCATTCTATAAACATGAATCCTTCTTAGCCTTTGGCTGCCGACAACCATCAATAGCAGAATAACATCAACAAAGTTGTCATCTAGCGCGTGAAGATAGACGAACTTTCAAATAAAGCACATATATAATTGGAGGCCGTGAGGCCAACAATTATGGAACAGATGCATACTACACCGATTGCAAGTTGATGGATATTTAATTTGTTAGTTAAGGCTTAAATACGAAAGTTGAAATGTTTCAAGAGGGTGAAAGAATGCTTCAATGTGCATAGAACTTTGCTTCGATTCTCGTCAAATATGAATTGAAACCATATTATTGCTAGTCAATTGTGAGACTAAACTCACTTTTCGAATACGTAAATGTAAATACTATCGTTTGTTTAAAAAAATAATTGTGCATAGAACTTTTTGTAGACTTTATTTGCCCAAATTTTTAGTGCGCAATATGCATGTTTGGGATAAAAATATACTCTTAGGCCTGTCCAAGGCCCAACACACTAATATTTGTCTAAAAACTTAGTAGGTATTCAATTTGTGCAGCAAATAAACCGTGCATGGCCCAAAATTCAAAAATACTTTATGACATGGTGATTGTGAGCAGCAAAAATCCTCTTTCACAAGGAAGTAGTCTTCAGTCAAGTTTTACAGAAAAAAAGTACTTTTTCAGTCCCAATTTCCTAGTTTTGATAGGATAAAATATCGCCATCTATTCGTCATTGAAACGTGTACATGTATGCGCACACAGTGGTAATTTTTGGATACAACGCATAGAAAGGTAATTTCGTTCACAATGAGAATTCAACAAGATTTGAAATTTATTGATACAGCTTCAAACAACACCACCAACACCAAACCTTTCAAGTGTTCTTATACGGACAATGTGCCGACATCAAGCTTGTTGGAGTTTGAGACATCCTTATCCCATATTGGTCAACAGTATTTTTTCACTAGCCTTTGTATAGGCTTATTCCTTTTTCTTAGTAATTAGAACTTGGATCATTTGGAAATGGATTGAAGGTTTGGGCCTTATGGTTGTGTGGATTAGGCTTGATGATTATACTATAATATTAATATTAATTAATATTAATTAATCAAGACAAGGGCCTTCGGCCTTGGGGCACTTTGGGGTCAAGGAATTAAAATTAATCTGATCAATTAGTTTTAATTTCGAATTAAGTTTTTAATTAAATTAATTAAAAACGTTTTGATTAATAGACACAACTCTTTGGAAAGAGTTGTATAGCTTCAGATACATCCAAAAGGTATTTGAAGAGGTATGAAAGAGCCTATATAACTGGAGTCCTCAGTTACATCAAAAATCATCTTTTCTTCCTCCTTATCTTCCGTACAAACTTTCCAGAGAGTAAACACACAAAACAATTCGCTAGAGTTCTATAATCCAGTGCGGGTTGTAGAATTAGGTAGTTGTATCCTGGTCGAGCAGACGTTGTAGAACCACAAGCGCACGAGTGGGACGAAAATACTGTTCGAAGGACATAGCGTTTGCGCTAGCCTCTACCTTCAATTCATTCAAGTTAGTATCATATTAATTTTTTGTAATTATTGTGTTATTGCATTTTATATTGCAAGTATTTGTGAATAATAAAGTATAAGTATTTTGATTTTGTATTTCTGTTATTTTATTGTTTCTAAATTGTTCTCCAAGGCTCATGAACATAAACTCAAACTTAGAACAACCCGAATACGAATTGCATAACAACTCATACGAATTTAGCTCAAAACTCCCATTTTCCTTGGGAAATTCGATCACTCACTGCCAATTTCCTCCAGTGTAATTCATACTTACATGTGCATACAAAGTTAACTTCTTTCACAATGGTAATCCAACAAAAAATGGAAACTTAGGGATGCCAGCTTCAAACAACTTTTACTAAATTCACCTGCCTCCTACCCACCACAAATTCTCAGGAAAGTTCATTTCTCTGACTGAAATTCAAAACCCAAATCATAATACCTCTCAAAATTCACTTAAAATTCATCACCCAAAACTTAATCAGCAAATTACAATGAATACTTCCAAGAGAAAAAACGAAATTAACAAAATTAATCTGAGAAATGTAATCCACCTGAAGTCCCAGAGAGCTCCAGAAGCGAAAGCAGAATAAGAAAAGCTCAGAGCAATTTGGAACTGAAAATTGCTGAGGAGAAGAAGAGACTGATCCGTAATTTGGCCGAAACGACGAGATTTACCGTCGTTTTCGCGACGCGACTTAAAATCTTCCGCCACGGCCGGTGACTGTTTGGATCGCTAGATCCTCCAATCAGAAAAAGAAACCCGCGGGGAAAATAAAATGAGGTTACGCGTCGGGCGCAATAAAGGAAAGTGGTGGGCGTTGGATCATGTGCGGTGGGAGAATTGTGGCCGTTGAATGGGACATTAGCCGCCCGGGTAGGTGTTGAATTTTTAATTGGTCCTCTACTTAAAGAGTGACTTTTTTGACATTACGGGACGCTATACGCGGGATGTTACAAGGCACACTCGCATCACACGGCAGAGTAGCTCTGATACCATTCTATTACATCCCAATCTCAACTTTGCCGTAGCGCTATATTGTCTGCTTTGGGCCCCGGCCACGCCCTCATAGTTTTGTTTCTGGGAACTCACACGAGAACTTTCTAGTAGGTTACGCATCCTGGGATTGCTCTCGCCCAAACTCACTTAACTTCGGAGTTCCGATGGAATCCGAAACCAGCAAGTTCCCAAAAGGCCTTGTGCTATATGGAGGTGAGCATGTACATATAAGACACATCACCCCCTTTTCGTTGGTCGATGTGAGATGTTACACTTTTACTTTAGATTAATCCATAATATATAATTTTCCTGCCGATTTCTTCTTTTGTCAAATGCCTTTTATTTATCATGGATGCTACATGCCAAAAGAAATATGGCTTTTTTACCCTTCATTCTTATTCATATTCTTTCATGGCGTACAGATTTTTTTTCATTATGTAAAGATATTTTCACAAGTATGGCATACCATGGAGAACGCAGTGTTACATTTGTACTCTTTTTTTTTGTCAAATGTTTACATTTGTACTTGACCAAGTAATTCCAATCAAACTCAAATAATATAGTACGGCATTCAATAATTTTGACAACGTACTAGATAAAAAATTTTGCGCAAGAAGACACTTCAATTTATTACTAGAAAATACCAACATAGTACACTTAAAATTATTACATAAAATAACAACATAGCACACTTAAATTTAACACAGCACATTAATACACCAACATCATCAACGTTCACCTTCTCGGCACCATACATGTTCAACCAAATCCTTACGAAGTGTGTCATAACCTTGAGGAACTTGAATTCTATTTAAACGTTTCATATACTCACTCAATGTGACCGTATCATGTCGGGTCACATATGTGGTTGCAGTGAGATATTCAACATTTCTTGTCATAACTCTCGTATGTGTTGGTTGGTCATCATCCACATCTTCATCTGAATCTTCTTCAATTTCGATGTACTCATCATTCACAATCACGTTGTGCAAAATTATTCATGTCATCATGATTGAATGTAGGATCCCGATCGCTCTCTTCGTATCCTTCCTGTAAGACTCTTGCCTCTGCGAAAATAATTTCTTCTTTGCACTATCGGAATGAGAAAATTTTTTTTACAAAGGTAGGCCAACTAGGATAAATATCATCAGTTAGGTAGTAACCTAGCTCACACATATTACCATTAACCTTGTACCTCAATTCTGGTGTCCATCCATTGACAACATCATCAAACAGAGGAGAAGACTAAAGAACGTTGATATCGTTGTTTGATCCAGGAGCGCCGAAGAATGCATGCCAAATCCATGTGTCGTAAGACGCCACAACCTCGAGCACGATAGTTAGCGTGTTATGACGGCTCTTGAATTGGCTAACCCAAGTAGTAAGACAGTTCTTCCACTTCTAATGCATACAATCGAGGCTTCTTATCATGCTAGGGAAGCCTCTTTTCTCTGCCTTGCGTAGAAGCCTCTTCAAGTTTTCACCATTTGGCTTGCGAAGGTATGTGGCTCCATATATGACTTCAATTGCCTTACAGAAGCGCTTTAGGTTCTCAGTAGCAGTAATCTCCACAAGTCGACAATATTCGTCAGTTGAGTCTGCAGAACACTCATTAGCTAGCATCTGAAACGCAGATGTAAGCTTCTGATGAGGTAATATACTTTGTTGGCCTACGACATCTATCTTCCTTGCAAAGTAGTGGTCATGATTGATAACTGCATTCAAGATGCTTTCAAAAAGCTCTCCCCTCATCTGAAACCGCCTCCGAAAATTATGTGCAGGATATCTCGGACTGTGAAATCCCATTCTTGGATTTCAACTATTATAATCTACGTATTTGTATTACTGAGGTTTTATATTTGTTTTCGAGAATTTATATTAATTTATTTGAAATTAGGTTTATTTAAACAAGTTACGAAGAGTAAAGTTTGAAAAATTATTATTTACTCGTTGATCTTTCGAGGTCACAAGTAACATTTCTGAATAGATCTTAAAGCCACGAGCACATATGCAAAAGCCATTTGTGAGTCCGGATTATAGCGGTATAATTACGGATATTTGAAGTTGTTCTACTAAACTATAGTTTTTAAATTAGTTAAACCCCCACTATGTGGGAATTTGGGCCGAGGAGATGTGAGTAAATTCTGGGGACTAATCAGATTTGAAAAAGAAAGGTGTGGCAACAGCCAAAAAAAAAAAAAAAAAAAAAAGGAAAAGAAAAAGACGGATTTTCCCCCCTTCCATTCCGTCAACCCGAGCACCCACAAACCCGACTTCAACCTTGCCAAATTCCGGCCAATCTCCACCATTTTTCAGGCCATTCTCACCCCTCTTCCATCTGCAACTTATACTACAACATCTCATCTACCATATTTGCTCAAATTCAAGGGTTTTTAAGGCCAATTTCAAGTAGAACCATACCGGAGAACTCGGAGGTTCTCGACGGCGGCTCGCCGTTCCGGTGAGTTTCACCACCCACCACCACCCTTAATCAACTTTCCTTGGACTCAGGAACAAGACCCAACTGGTGGTTAGGGCGTAGGAACACCGAGGAAGTCGAATTGACGAACACCCACCTTAGGGTTCCGACGATTTGTGGCTAGTTTGGGGTGTTTAGGTATAAAGTTTACTCTACTTGTTGAGATCTTCATTCTTGTGAAATTTGAGAATTTTTAGAAAAAGTCAAATTTTCCTATATGTAACATTCGATTTATGAAATGTTGTTGGTTGAGTATATTTTCGATAAGGTCCGCCACTTGAATATTTTAACAATTGACAATCTTACCATTTAATTGACACCAAATTTTAGTATGCTATTGTAGATATGGTTTACGGACCTTAGGGTATTACTAGTGAAAATCTAGTGGGGCTATATTGGTTGATAGCGACTTGAATATATGAGACATGATTATTATCTTAATTTCTTATATTGGTATCAATTGTGATTAAGAATTGGTCTTATGAATATGATTTCTATTGAAATGTGATTTTTATATATTTAGCCATAGACCTATGCTTATTAAATAGGATTTGGCTTGTGCACTGATGATGTCTGGGACATATATATGTTTAATTATAATTATAATGAATGTTATGACAATTATGGGATTCAAAAATTGTTTGATAATTATTTGGATATGATTACCAACTGTATATCTAATTGAACTTGGCATTTTACCTAGCATGAGATGGAGATCGAAGTCAAGAGATGAGTTAGGTACTTTATTAGATTCTTAGTAGAAATAGTAATTAAGGAAATTCCTTGTGTTGTGCTTCATCTGACTTGATGCTGGTTGATATGTGGAATCGATAGCATGTATGCGTATAATTATGTTTAATGTGTGATGATGAGATTGCATCACGTAGTTGTGGTACATGGATGGTCCTACTTGGTATATCCGCGATGGGGGACCATACGCATTCTAGAGGTGATGATGACTAGTTGTGCATGGTACATTTTTAGGCGATCATATTTGGTTTGGTTCCGTTGAGTGGTTCGGAACCCGAGGTTGTTGAATTTCGTAGAGTGGCCTAAAATCCCATTGTTTGGAGAAGTAGGCTTGGCCTAACTATGTCACTCCAGCCTTAGTTTTTTTTTATATTTATATTTATATATATATATATATATATTTGTGTCAATGGTTTCGAGAGTCTTGTGAATTGAGTTAGAAAAGATGTTGGATGTCTGAGTGACTCCTTCGGGATTTTCTATGATTCGATTATGATTTCATAAGGTATGAATTTAGAAGATATGGGAATAATTGTTATTACTTTGATCAATTAATTAATTAATGCGGCTCAAAAATGGTTTTGTGTTTTGTCGGCTCTTAAATATGATGTGTGTTGTGAATTGCGATATCATGATGAGATATAATGATTTATATGTTGGATGGGAGAGGAATCATGTTTTCATGGGGATTGGTTATGTAGTCTGAGTCCAGGAATTACATGTTGTTAGGTTATATTGAATGATTGAGGAATCCTATTGTTTTCTGCTTGAACTTAGTGGAATAAACGTCTGATTTTGTGATAGTGAACTACGAATGGCTTGATCTATATTGAGGGTACGTAGGCAGTTTAACGAGGAGGTTAGATGCAACCATAAGGTAAACGAAAAATTTCTTTGCAATTTGATTCTCGAATTGTGATTGTCATATTCCTGAGATGGGTTATGTAAGACATACGAGTATTTGGGTGACGTCACGTGTCGATCCTGGAAGTATGTCGGGATCGGGGTGTGAAACGGATGCTCGATGAAATAATCTTTCATCATTCGGTCATGACACTCTTCTCTATCACACTGCACAAATGAACGCTCTGTGATAGAATCACGATAGCTAGATTTGGCATGGTGCTCATATTACATAAGTGAGTTTGCAAATTCGGCTTCTGCGTTGATTATTTCTACATCCTCATTGTCAAGGCTTACTTGGTATTGTGCCATCTGCATTACCCTGCTATGCCTTCTTCTATCACCCATTGATGAGATATTGAGGATTTTTAGGAAACAAAAAAACATTTTGAAAGTTAAAAGATTGGTGAATATGTTGTGTGATGGTTTGATACTCAACCTATGTTTACATAGAGGATGATTGAAGGTTTCAGTTTCATGTGTGTAGATTTGTATTTCATGCGTTTCATGTGTTTCATGTGTTTTATATGTGTTCCGTGTGTGTCATGTGTTTCACCTATATTTTGTTGTGCTTCATCTCTATCATGTGTTTTGTATGTATTTTGTATGTGTTTCGTGTGTGTCATGTGTTTCACATGTGTTCTATGTGTGCTTCATCTCTATCATGTGTTTTGTATGTCCTTCACATGTGTATATGCTTCATATGAGTTTTGTATGTGCTTCACATGTGTTCTATGTGTCTTGTGTATTTCATGTCTTTTGTATTTATACATCTCTATCATGATTTTCATATTCTTCCATAGTATTTCACGAGTTTCATATATCGATTTAGTGATTTTTCAGTATTTATCTGAATTTAAATATTTTTATATTAAAATGTTCATAAAATTAATTTACGATAGTCTACATAATTTTTTTTTTAAAGTTAATTTAAGAAAAAAATTAGCCTAAGTTCATTCTTTAATAATCTGGGGCTAAAATTTTAGACCAGAATGGTTGGGGCATAAAAGCTGTTTCTAGACTAAATGCTAAATTTTTTGGGCTAAAAATAGGGAATTTTAACTAAAAGTCTGCAGTACTGTTCATTTTAACGAAAAACCACATTTTTACACTAAAAAGTCAAACATGGTACAATCCAGTTTACCCTTTATTTTGTCCTTATCATTAAAACTCAAAGTTTTCAAACTTTTTTCAATAGTTTTTCTCTAAAATTACTAACTTTTAGTCTAAGAGTTAAAAGATGGTCTAGTGACAATGATCTTAGAAGATTCCTTTTTGAATCATCTACCCCGACTTTTTCAAGCAAAAAGACACTTTAATGTACACTCTTCCAAAGAACTGACAGTGAGATTTTCATTGATATTGTATTGCTCTTTTAAGCATGTCATCAACAAGGGATTCTATTTTGAATTCCATTTGTTGAATATAGAGGTGTGATATCTACACATCTCATTTTACTTCTCATACATCCTTCTAATTTTCGGCCGTCGGATCAGATAAATTAAAGAAGATCAACGGGCAGAAATTAACGAGGGATGTGTGAGAAGTAATTTGAGGTATGTAGATAGCACATTCCTTGAATATAATAACTATTCTCTAACTTTCTCAAGGGATAACCTAAAAAGTTTTCTTTCCAAATATAAAACAAAGGTTGCTAACATCTTTTCGGAAAAACCTGGTTTGCTTCATTAGCAGTTTTTTTGTTAGTATTTGCCTAACGGTCAAAAAAATATATATATATATTGTACGACTCAACAAGTTTATTGAAGGTCTTGCAACAAAAATCTTTTCTTTTACCCTGACTTTTTGCAGCCAAAAATACTTTAATTCACGCTCTTGCAAAAATAAATAATGGAATTTTTTATGATATTTTATTACTGCTGCAAGCATGCCATCAACATATAATTTTTTTTTAATTCAACTCGTTTAATATAATAGTCGTCATCTAATTTGGCTAAAAGATGACGTAAAAAGTTTATCTTTCCAAATTAAATGCAAATGTTTTTGAGAAACTTGGTTCTCTTTATAATTCACCAGCACCACCTTTTTGTTAGCATGTGCCAAATAGTCAAAAAATTGCATTTGTGAATCAACTAGTTTAATGAAGGTCTTGCAACAAAAATCCTATCTTTTACCTCGACTTTTTGCAGCAAAAAAACAGCTCAATTATGCTCTTTCAGAAACCGAGGGTGATATTTTTCATGATAGTCTTTTGTTGTTTCAATCATGACATCGACTAAGGATTTTTTTTTGTTTTTCGCATTCAATACCAGGTTTATCTTTAAATTTGAGAAAAATGAAAGTCATATATGTTGTTTTTTTCATAGAGGAATTTATATCATCTATTTCCCTTTATATCAAAGGAAATTTAGGTTAATATAAATAATTTTTTTAATAATCATCTCACGCGTGTTATTTTATCCAACTTTGATTAATTTGTTGCTTTTTCAATTTTGAAAAAAATTAACCAAGGTTAGATGAAAGGTCACGTGGCAGATGATGAGTTATATGGTGAGCATATACCATAACTGTTTTGGTGTTAAAAAGTGCACCTTTTGTTTATATCTGGTAACAAATGAAAGTAATCTCTACTAATTAATAAAAACACTCATTGTCAACCAAAATCCTATGAAATTACTAGTTTAACTCTCTAATTAAAATAGAACATGAATAAGAAATATGGGGCAGACATGTAATTTTACACAACCAAATTTTGCTTTTATTTTTTTCCAAAGCCTCACTACATATAATCATAACATATCTCTAATTAAAAAAAAAAAAAAAAAAAAAAACTTCCCACTCCCACATTCTCTATCACTCCCTTCCTCTCCCCTTCTATTTCAAAAACAAAAATAAAAAATTTTCTCACACACTTTGTGTGTGCCCATATTGTGACATCCCGTCCCGAAAATATCGAAAACTCACGTGTGAAATGACTATTTTGCCCCTAGTTCGTTTCTTTTACGTTTAGTGGTTGTTTTGTGTGGTGTTGGCATGTGTTGGGCCACACACACACACACTGTCACTCTCCCAGCTTCCCTGTCCCTTTCCCTGTCTCTCTCTCTCCCGAGTCCTCTTTCCTTCCTCTTCCTTCTAAAAACGTACGGACACACACACAAACATACGAAATCTCCACAGATCGAAGGAACTGAGTACACAGTCGAGCTCGTGAGGTTGAGAGGAGTGCAGCTGTACCATTTTCAGGTAAGATAATCACCGTTTTCACGTCGATTTCACGAAGTCAGTTTGGGGTACTATTCATGCAAACGTATATACTCACGTTTTAAGGAAAATGGAGCTCGTAGGTAGCTTGGTGAGGTCCCAAGGAGTCTCAGAGTAGTTCGTTTGAAGAATTTGGACGTCGGAATCGCCATATTCGAAGTTGGCCGGATTTGGAGTTTGGTGACAGGTAAGATCTTGTAGTTTTTGACCCTTAAAAGTTATATGGTTGTGTTCTCCTAGTTCTAGGCGTCATTTTGGTGCAAAAATCAGGAAAATTGGTTGAGAAACGAGAGAGAAATCGAAGGTTGCAGGTTTCGCGATTTTTCGGCTCCGGCGACGGCACCGGAGGTTCGTCGGGGAAGGAGACGGAATATTCCGTCAAATCTGACGGAATATTCCTGACGCCGTTGACGGAATCTGTTAGAACTAACGGAATATTCCTTACGGCGTCAGTTGACGCCGTCAGCGTGCCAGGCACGTGCCTGCGCGTAGCCGGCGCGTGTGGCCGTGCCTTGGCCGGCGTGTGGGGGAGCGTGCGGCGGTGGAAAATTTTTCTAAAAATTTGGGTGTGATCCTGAGGTTGTGTATGTTGGAAATGTGCCCTAAAACCAATCATATGATGATACTTTACGGACATTTCAAACTAATGTAGTTTAAATGTAAAGGGCAAAGATTATTGTTTGAGCCGTCTCATATAAATGTTATATGCTTAAACGATAAGTCCAAGGAATATGTGATTGGAAGAATGCGATCTAAAGAAGTTAGATTCATGAGACCATTCTTTCGTTGACACATCCTAAACGTTCCTGATCATAGGATTGTCAATTGGGCATTGACAGTCCGTTAAGATCAGTATGTGCTATGTCTTCTCTCAGGGAGAGTGACTAGTCTCGAGTCATTGGTGTGTGTGACATCAAGACAAGTACGTAGGTGCTCAATAGAGAATGAGTTCACTGAACACGATCAACGAAGAGTTCTCATATTCATGTCACATGAGAACTCATGGTTGGGATAATGCAAATTAGTCTTTTGACCTGAGGCATCACAGTTGTCTTGTGGTTAGGTCCTTAATCTTTGATTATGTCAAAGTCACTCCATCAGGAGGGTGTCCATAGCATCGTTGGGGTTAAGCCACTTAGCTATGGAGGCAAGTGAATGCGCAACAAGGGATCTCTAACCTTCAAACTGTTTGAGGGAGAATACTCTATGATATGATTAAGAATCTTTGGCCAAAGTATGAATGAGATTTAGGAATGTGTTCCAAATCACATTCAAGGTAATCATATAAGCACAAGACTCACATTGGATAGTAGACATGAATAAACTATCAAACCAAACAATGTGGTCAAGAGTATTGTATTAGAGAAAGACCGTATTGCATTTGTAATCCTAAAACTGAATAGGTTCTCCACCTCTTCTGATTAGCTTGAGTAACCATGACATGCTGCTAGGCGTCAACCATGGTTTGTGGAAGCCCTAAAAGTGTATTATCACTAACGGGAGAATTGAAAGTAAGTTTCAATTCACAATCGATTAGAAAGAGTTTTAATCGCCCACTGCCTCGCTAAAAGGAACCTAATGGATCGTTCACCGAGTAAGGTAGAGTTTGAAGAAACAACGGAGATGAGTAAGAATAATTAAATGGTTTAATTATTTATCTAAGGCTAGGATTAATTAATATGTTAATTAATCAAACGAATAAGTTCGTTAAAGACCTCGGGTTAGTTTTGGGCCGCAAGGCCCAATGGGATTTGAATGTCAAGCCCATTAACTCAAGTTGTATGACAACTTGAATAAACAAAGGGCTTGAAAGCCCAATAAACCCTATAGGCTTGCCATTTTAGAAGAATAGGGCTTTTGGTCCATTAGGTCATTTATTTGAAGGGACTATATAAAGGACTTCTTTATAGCCTAAAATTTATATATGGTAATTTTTGGGGAAAGGATGAGAACACAAGCTCTCATTTCTCTCTAAAATTTAGGCCACCTTGGAAGGATCATCTAGCAATCAAACTCCTCCAAGGTCACTCATTTCTTCTTCATTATGCCTTGGTGATGAATAATTAGAGGTTCTCAATTTTGGGAACTTGGAGAAACCTTTTCATCCATCCAAATCCATGGATCTAAGATGCAAGGAATGAAGGCCCTCTCTTTGGGTGATTAGCCTTTGCTTATGCAAAGAAGAATCTACAAAGGTATTGATTTCTCAACTCACTTTGTTTTGAGTTGAGTCTTGGTTCACCTATCTACTATGCTTTGAATTTCATGGGTAAATGTTTTGTTTTAAGTGCATACAAGCATGATTCCGTCTTTAATTGTTAATTGCATGCTATTGATGTTGCTTAAATGAACATGTTTTTCACAAATCTTCCTTCAGTGTAGAGCACGTTGGTATATTCATTTGTCCAATTTGAGCAATGTATGAGAAGTTATTACGAGAAGTTGGTTATGTGCTTTAAAATTAACGTTTTTATAGTTGTTTCACATATAGGTGATACGTATCTCGAGGACGAGCGTGGTCACTCGAGGCAGGGGGGCTACGACCCTTCCACTTACCAGTGAGTGGGCTTTTGGTTTTCCGTATATACCTATATACTTATATTTTCCCAGAAATTGTTGAAAGGGTTAATTGTTTTATGCCATGCACCATCTTATTATTGTTTATGCATCATCACGTGCATTATTAGTTGCATACATATACATATGCATATTTGGGTGCTGTGGACGCACAGGTAAGTGCCAGGTAAGTGTTATTCATGTTTACATTCAGTAGCGATTCGAGATGCTTAGAGAGCTCATAACCTGCACCCCCGGTGTTAGTGCTCCCGCCCAGAGTAGGGCACAGTCCTTCACGTGATGTTCACCTCCCGCACCACACGCTCAGCTTGGATCCAAGTTAGGTGCACAGTCCTGTCGTACAGACCACATTAGGTGGTTCCGACTCGTAGGTGACCCGCGATTATTCGCACAGCCTTCACATGATCGTAGCACTAGAGCGTATATATATGTTACACCCATGCCTGTCGTACAGACCACTTAGGTGGTTCCGACTCGTGGGCAGGTTCAGTTATTGAGTTTGAGATTTGAGCTCTATATGCAGCCGTACAGGTCACGTTAGGTGATTCCGGCTGCCAGATTATATGTTATTGATATGATTTATACCTGAGCACTTGCATTTCATTGTGAGGTTTCGACATGGCATATTCTTGAGCATAATGGGCGTATCTTTATATACGTATATATGTTTATTTTCTGGGAAGTATACAGGTTTTACGGCGAGGGGTTAGAATGTATTTTACTAAATGGTTTTCGAAAAGCTTTGTTTTTGCCCACTCACGCTTTTGTTTTGCGCTCCTCCGGGTTCTAGTTGCTTAGCAGGTTCGGTGGTTTCCCAGAGGGCTTTCCCGGCATTTTTGACAGACACTCACCAGTGTAGGGTCACCTTCGGGTGTACTGTTGTCGTATCATTTTCTTTTGGACTGCTGTAGACTTATTGCTCTGAACTTAGCGTCTCACATACGCTAGCACTTGTTTTTACTACCTTGTATGCTAGTTTTTCATTATTCGTACTTTTATATTACTTTTTATTAGCTTCCACACGTGCACATGGTTACGTCACCTCTGCGTGGCGGCCAGCATGCCCTGATCTCGGTCGGGGTGTGTCACATATACTAGTATCCATTAAGTTAGTTGTTTTGGAATTGGGTAATGTTAGAGAGATTAAATTTGTAGATAAAGTTTTAAAAATTAAAAGACATAGACCTTATTGATTGATTTATTACTTAAAAGTTAATAAACGTGCTCATTCATTTGATGACGTATTATTTATTTTGCAAATTTAATTTTCTTAACATTACTTTTTGAAATTACTGTTTTAATCCTAACTGATTGATTTAATATTTTGAAATTTTAGTAAAAAAAAAAAAAAAAAAAAAAAAACAATTGTTGGTATCATAAATGCTTTATTAGTTGGAAGTTATACATCCATTGTCGTTAAGGTAATAAAAGATTGGTACCAAAACGATATTTAATATTTGTAGTCCGAAGAAATCGAACTCGAACTCAAAAAAAAAAAAAAAAAAAAAAAAGGAAAACTCGAAAAACTGTCGCTGAGAGTTTCGTTGGCTGTGATTGAGTGCTCCCATGGCGCCCTCCAAGCTCGCCATTCTCTCGATTTTTCTTGCCCTAATTTTCTCCCAGATTCGGGCTGACAGGCCACGATTTAAACTCCCGGAAGGCTTATTGTTCTTTAAACGCCCGGAAGGCTCATCGTTCGACCCGTCCACTTCGAATACAGGTTCGTTTCTATCGTCTTCTGCGAATCCTAGGGTTTATTGGGTGAAATTTGTGATTTTTCAAGTGTTTGTCAATTCGAATTTTTCCCTCAATTTTCTCGCCATCCAAACAGATGTACTGAAGTTAGAGATCCTTTGGTTTTTCAATTGGGAAGTGTTTGTATATCTTTCCATTTATAATTTTGTGTTTCTGTTTTGGAATCTAAGTTTCAATTAGCTGAGCTCTGATACAGCTTTGATTTTTCAGTTTTTTTAATTTTATCAGACCAATAAAGATGCTTAATGCTTAATTGTTTATTTAGTTACTTTGTGAGTAGAAACAACATCTATATTAGTTAAATTTCGATTTCGAGCATTTTAAGTGTTTTTTTAGTGCCGTTTGGGAGAAAGAACAAAAGAAGAATAAGCAGAGAAATCGAGTATCTCCAGGTAAGGCATATTTGCATGGAAATTCAGGGATGTAGCTTCAAACAATTTTTACTAAATTCACGTCGCTCCTACCAACCACAAATTCTCATGAAAATTCATTTCTCTGACTGAAATTCAAAACCCAATTCTAATACCTCTCAAAATTCACATAAAATTCATCACCCAAAACTTGATCCGCAAATTAAATATTAAACTACAACTAATCAGCAAATTACAATCCATAATTCCAAGGAACAAAATTAATCAGATAAATGTACTCCACCTCAAGTCCCAATTCATAAACCCTCTCAAAATTCATTTCTCAGAGCATTTTGAAACTGAAAATTGCTGAGGAAAAGAAGAAACTGATAGGTCGTTTTGCGACGCGACTTAGAATCCTCCGCCACGGCCGGTGACTATTTGGATCGCGAGCTCGTCCAATTAGAAAAAGCATTGTTTTAAAAATTATCGCCCAGCGTTGTCTAGGCTCTGTTTAGAAGTTAGGTGGCTGGTCACCATCCTGATTAATGATAGGGGTTTGAAAATTAAGAAATGACACCTATAACTGTTGAGCCGCCCGCCTAGACATGCTAAGGCGCCCGTCTAGCCCGTCCAGACTTGTCTAGACCGCGATCCACTTAGATGGAAAATAGATAACTTTCATTTTGTATTTTATTTTTTTCAATAAATTGTAAGATACTTGTTGCATACTAAAATGAACACACATGATATCCTTGTTTCCATATTTTCATGATATTCCAATACTTTATAATACATAAGTCATTTTATTTTGTAGTTTATGATAAAATTATATATTTTTTAAGTATAAGCAGACACTTATTTATATGAAATATTATAAATTTAGTTAAATTCGCTTAATTCGCCTAGATACTAGACTCTAGTCAACCGTCCTATTAGCGTTTAGATTCTTTTAGAATTTTAAAAATAATAACCCGCCGGAAAAATAAAATGAGATTACGCGTCGCGAGGTGATTGGGGTTTAGTGCAGTGTGCGGGTGAGGTTAGCGTGGTCAAAATCCTATTATCCGGAAGGCGCGCGCAATAATAGGACATTAGCCGCCTGGGTAGGCGTTGAATTTTCAATTGGTCCCACTCAAAACGGGGCACACTTTCTCCATAAATTTTTTACTATACTCGGAATACAGCTGACCCACTATATATAAATTTTTCAATTGGTCCACGGGTTATTTTCTTTTGTCCATTGGATTCCTTCTTTTTTTATTAAAAAATTCCTTTTCACAATACAATATTTATTATTAATCAACAATTTTAAAATAAAAAACCACTCCACCAACCCTCTAGAACGCACGGGTTCTTTCGTCTCCGCCCCCCCCCCCCCCAAATCTGTTATCCTTTTCAATTGTTAATTCACTTCATTTCTTTGTCTTCGATCTGTTCTGCGGACGCACGGGTTCTTTCGTCTCCGCCCCCCCCCCCCCCCCCCCCCCCCCAAATCTGTTATCCTTTTCAATTGTTAATTCACTTCATTTCTTTGTCTTCGCTCTGTTCTGCGGATGAGGATCCTCTCTTCGGATCCTCTTTTGCGGGAAATTTAAGAATTCTTAATCGTTTATCATTTATTTTTCGTTAATTACTATTTTTGTTTAATTTTAAATAAAAAATTTAAAAATAATTTCTGACTGCCCAATAAACTACTAAAATATAAAGATTCCTAGAATTTCCACATTTTGAATCCATATGTTATCTAAATCCTGTTCTCCTTCATTCTGCCTGCAGTGCTCTTCTTTCTCTCTCTTTTTTTTTTCTCCTCTCCTGCTTGCTATGCCTCTCCTTTTCTCCTTTCTTTTTTTTTACCTCATCTCTCCTGCGTGCTTAAGCCTCTCCCTCTGTCTTAATTCTCTCTTTTCTCTTTCTGGGTGTTGTGCTCTCTTCTCTCTCCCTCTTTTTTTTTCTCTACTTCTGGGTGCTCTGCTCTCTTTTGGATTTTGTTTTTTTTTTTTTTGGTTGGGTGAAGAAAAGAATTCAGGTGCAATGCGGTTCGGTTAACCTTCGGAGAACCGTTTGTTAGACCGATTGTGATCAGTACGGTTCGGTTTCACCATAAAAAAAAAAAAAAAAAAAAAATTAGAATGCCCTACATCTTTTCTATAGTTGTTAGATTAAACATTCATTCCTTTTAAAGATTTGATTAAGGTGCTTTGATCAATTGACACCTCAATAATTTTCTTTTTATTTAATTTTCATGTCATTAATTTAAATGCATTTATATAGAAGCATAAAGTAGCTTAGCAACTAATTGCCTATAATATAAGAATTTAATTTCGAATCCCCTTCCACGCATTAAATGATATTTTTTTAATAAAAAAAATAATTAACTAATTTCTCATTTCCTTATTATCAGTATTTAAAAAAAAATTTCTCTTTCTATTAAAAATGTCTCAATAAAAAGTCTTCAATATATATTTTTTTTCACGTATAGATATATAAAAAAATATACTTAAAACTTATGGTACATTTAAGAACAAAAATATCGACTTTTACTATGTTTATATTTCAAATGTACCGAGAAACCAAATGTACCATAAAACTAAATGTACCTCTTGTTATGTAACCAATTTGGTATGTTTAGATTTCAAATATACGGAAAAACCAAATGTGCCCATTGTCAGGTAACCCTTTTGGTACGTTTATATTCCAAATGTACCAAAATACCAAATGAACAAAAAATCCCAAATGTACCACAAAACCAAATATCTCCATTAGATAACCCCTTTTGGAACATTTACATCCCAAATGTACCGAGAAATACAAAAAATCAAATCCACTATAAAACTACATGTGTCCATATTATAGTAACTAGACGTAACTATATAATCAAACAAATTTTTATTATGTGTTGGGTCTTCTAAATAATAAAATCTGACATTTTTTATATAAATATTCTACTATATTCACAAAAAAAGTAAAAATTATAACAAACAATAAAAAAATGCATAGAGATGGATAATAAATGCATAAATATAGGGATAATAGGAAAGGAAAAAAAAAACAAAATGTTCAGCATAAGTCATGAAAAATTTAAATTCTAAACAAAATTAAACTTATGTGAAAAACTGAAATTAATAACCAAAATTTTAGGAAAATGTTTGATCAAATTTTCAAAAGAAGTGTATGTTTAATCTAAAAAAACTAAAAAACAAAACGCCTATATCAAAACGTCCCATACAGAAGGAAAAAAAAAAAAAAAACCATCGGTACTATTCGGACGGTTCAGTCAGTTTTTTATATAAATCCCTGCCCTAGTATGTGCCAAACAGTAAAAAAATTGTATGCACGAATCAACAAGTTTAACGGACGGTGATACTTTCATGATATTTTTATGCTGTTCCAACTTTCAAGCATGATATCAACAAAGGATTTTTTCTTTTTTCTTTTGTTATATGTTGTTTTTTTATGGCGGAATTTATATCATCTATTTGCCTTTATATTAAAGAAAATTTGGGCTAATATAGATATTCAAATTTTCCACCAAAAAATAATTCAAAATCAAACAACCCAACGAATTTTTACTTATATCTCTTTCAATCACGCCTACACATATGCCAATAGGATTTTTTTTAATTGCATGATATATTTTTGTTTTAAATAAGAATAAAATATTTTTCTTATTTTTTGCCAATAAAAAAATATTTTTCCTTTATTCATTCAAAGCAACAAATGAAAGAAATATCCATTAAAAGTGAGTTGAAATTACTATTTTAATCCTAACTAATTAATTTAATATTTTGAAATTTTAGTAAAAAAAAATTATTGTTGGTATCCTAAAATGCTTTATTAGTTGACAGTTATATATCCATTTTCCTTGAGGTAATACAAGATTGTTTTGGAACCAAACGATATTTAATATTTGTAGTCGGAAGAAATCGAACTCCAACTCAAAAAAAAAAAGACCTCGAAATACTGTCGCTGTGAAAGGTTCGTTGGCTGTGATTGCAAGCTCCCATTGTGCCCTCCAAGCTCGCGACTGTCTCAATCTTTCTTGCCTTTATTTTTTCCCAGATTCAGGCAGAAACTGGAATCTCGTGGGAGGAAAATGAACGAGACTCTCCAATCCCGGCGGAGAAACGCGAGAGCCCTCCGAAGGGGGGCTTTTTTCGTAAGCTCATGTATAAGATCCACTCATCGTTTCTATCGTCTTCTGCAAATTCTAGGCTTTATTGGATGAATTTGTGCTTTTTCATCGATTCGATACTTTATTAGGACCCAAATCTCAACCCTAACTTAACCTTAACTACTACAATCAGCAGTGGCACAGTCAGAATTTTGGCTCAGGAGGGGTCAAAAGTCTCACCTCAAAACGTTGGTCTGATCTAAAAAAAATAAAGATCCGTCTTGCCCTAACTACAAACCACTATCATTTGACTTTTTGGTATGACGTCATTATTGTCATTCTTTTCCTCAACTCAATCCCCATGCGTATTATCATGACTCAGATTCAAAATAAAAGTCTGTTTAAATGAAAGAAGGAAGTAGGGCATATTATATATCATGACTCATATTCAAAATAAAAGTCTTTTTGAATGAAAGAAGGAAATATGAGAGGAATAGAACAACAACAACAAAGTCTTATCTCATCAAATGGAGGTAGGTGAATTAGGAAAAAAAAGAAGAAGCAAAAGTAATAGTATTAAAAGTCTTCAAGGAATAAAAAATGAAGCAAAAATAAAAGCCAACTATCCCGCTTACTTCCTCTCTCTTCTTTTTATGATCGTTTGAGTCCTTTAAAAACTAATATTGACGTTGGTTAACTACATTAAGTGCCATCAACCTCAAATTGAATCCAATGAAGGAATAAGGAGAAGATTTTTGTTGAGGCTTTACTACCCTGAAAAATCTTTGGAAATTAAAGGGATAAAAAAATGCCCAAATAAGCATGGGACCATTCTGATCCCATCATGGCTCCACCCCTGACTGCAATGGAAGAAGAGGAAAGCACGGAAGAGAGGAGCAATAATTTTGGTATTTGATTTCTTCTGTAAAACCTGGGAGCTGGCCTCCCTTTATACAGTCACTATACTTTTTAATGCTAGCGGGTATGTTTAATAATCCTTAACAATAAAACTAAAGAATAAAACTTTCAATTAACAATTATAGAAATGTATTGAGTACTTACATGATGGTGTGAGTTTAAATGTCGTCAATGTCTAATCTAATAAAATCTATCGTTTGACAAAAAAAAAAAAAAAACAACTCTCTAATTGGTGATTAATTAAGGCAATCACAAATCAATCCTAATTTGAGTGGGTAATGCTAGGGAGATTAAATTTTTAAATCAAATTTTGTAAATCAAATGATGTGGATGTTGACAATTAGATTATTACGCATGTGTTGATTAACGTGCTCATTTCCTATTGATAACCTATCATTTGATTGGAAAATTCGGCTTAAATTTTGGTCTCCCCTATCGTTATTCATTTTGAGTTCATAACATTTTTCCCTCGGTTTTCTCGCCATCCAAACAGATGTTACTAAAGTTGGAGCAATTTTTCGGTGTACCCTCACTCATAATGGTGAGGGTGCACCAAAAAAATTTGGTGCACCCTCACTTTTTGTACACCAAAAAAATTCTAATGAGTGAGGGTACACCAAATTTTTTTGGTGTACCCGGTACACCTAAAAATTTTCCCTAAAGTTGGAGATCCTTTGGTTTTTCCATTGGGAAGTGTTATCTAAGTAATACTGCAATTAGCTGAGCTCTGATGCTTATTTGTACAGCTTTGATTTTTAAGTTTTTATAATTTTAATCAGACCAATAAAGATGCTTAATTGTTTAGTTACTTTGGGAGTAGAAACAACATCGATATTAGTCGAATGTCAATTTCGAGCATTTTTAAGTGTTGTTGAGTGCTGTTTGGGTTTTCCTGGCTGACGATTTGTGTTTCTTTAATGTAGAAGAAAACGAAATAAAAGAGAACAACGAGCTTATAAAAGAGAAGGAGAAAGTAATTCAACCCAACTTGGATAAAATTTCTTCGATGGAACTCCAACTAAAAAAGAACGATAAGCTTATAAAAGAGAAGGAGAAAGAAATTCAACACAACTTGGATAGAATTTCTTGGATGGAACTCCAACTAAAAAAGAACAATGAGCTTATAAAAGAGAAGGAGAAAGTAATTCAACACAACTTGGATAGAATTTCTTCGATGGAACTCCAACTAAAAAAGAACAATGAGCTTATAAAAGAGAAGGAGAAAGTAATTCAGCAGAAATCGGATATAATTTCTTCCTTGCGGAGTGAAATCGAGTCTCTCCAGGTTAGGCATGTTTGCATGAATTGCCAGAAACCCAATTACCCAATCTGTTTTTCGAATGACAGTTAGTTTATCTGCATATTGATTTCTATCTATGTTTCTATATTTTAGAAAAACGGGTCATTAGTTGAGCAGCAGGTTGGGAAGGCTCAAGCCCGTGCCGATGAACTAGAGAAAAAGGTTAGACACAATGAAGTGGACTATTTTAGTATGTGAAAACCACTACATTCATGTTGCCAAAAAAAAAAAAAAAAAAAAAAAAGGGAGAATACTACTGAATTGCCAATTCATTCGATCCTATGCAGGTTAATGAACTTGAACAGAAATTACAATCGCAACGTAAAGAGAAAGAAGACTTGGAATCCCGGGCAAATGAAGCTGAGGAGAAGATCAATGGTTTGCTTTCAGAAATAAAGAATGTAAGTTATTTTTTCTCATTTGGAAGAAAAGTTATTTTGTAGCTGAATGTGCTCATAGTGATGGGGAAAGTCCTTAGTGATTCTGATTATAAGAACAGAACATTGTTTTGCATTGGATTTAAGTGTTCAGTAAAGAATGATAGTAAGGGAATAAAAAGGGGAGGTAGACTGTCTGTCCTCCTGTTACCGTGTCTTTCTCATCTCTTCTTATTTGTGCGATCACGGTTAAGTCACGTTAATATTTTATATTCAGATTGCTTTTTGTCTTATTATCTTTATTAAAAAATTAATATAAAATATTAACGTAGCTTAACTGTAACTGCACAAATAAGAGGAGATAAGAAGAGCACGGTAACAGAAGGGCAGATAATCCGCCTTCATAAAAAGGATGCTAAAAGTTGTCACTCAACTCTGTCAATCATTGTTTTGTTTTGGTTTGTAATTTTGTAGATATTATCAATTCGTTTTATGTCTTTTTGTGACGAGTCCTTTGTTCATTTCCCCGTAAAGAAGTTTTCGATGGGAATGTCCTTTTGCATAGGATGTAAATTGACATCCTACTTTAGCACCAATGTTGACAAAATTAGGGTACTATGGCGTTTTTTTTTTTTTTTTTTTTTTTTACCATCTCGACTTCCACAATGCTGAACAAAAAGTCTGCTTCTTTTTCTTTTTCATTCATATATTTTATACTTGTAGTTGTAATGCTACTTGGATTTTTGCTTAGAGCACTTCCAACTAGGAGTTGCATCTCCACCTTTAAATTGAATAGTCATGGCAATAGGTAATAGAATACTAGTATTTTTTATTTTATAAAATAATAAAAAATAATTTTAAATTTTGAATTGAATTTTTAACCAATCTTGTCACGCCATATGGCATTATCTGAAAGTAAGATTTTTGCAGATAGATTACGATAAAATTTTTAACCAATTCTGTCGAGCGACGTGTTCTTAATTCTTTAAAATCGTTGAAAATATTGAAATGTGGTGTAAAGTAGGAGAAAATGATAAGGTATTTATAGAAAAAAAAAGTATACTCTTTTTAATCTTTTTTTTTGAAATTTTTCGGATCTTTAATATTTAAAAAAAAATTATTAACTTAATTAATCTAGATCGTTGGATTACAAAAAAATTTGAAATCCAACAGTCCAGAATGTGACACGTTGCCCACCAGAACATTTCTATTTTTTTTCCTTTTTTCTTTCTTTTAAAAAAAAATTTAAAGCCTAAAAACCTAGACCATTGATCTGGAAATCAACGATCCAGATTCCAAGTTAACTGAGTGGGGCTGACATGTGAGTCCCAACATCTGAAAATCTTGTTGGAGACGCACCCTCACTCGCGCATGTTATGCACGCACCTAATGCAAATTATTTTTATAACGTGGTTGACGTCAGCCTTGCTTCATAGAGCCCTCAGATACTCAGGCCTTAAACTCCCACTGCCCTCTCTCACCGACTCCCCCTAGCCCAATTGCCCGGGCTAAAGCAAATTTGAAAGGCAATTGGGTTGCATCGGTTCTGTCCATCGGGCTATCAACCACGCTAGACTTGCTCTTAATGTTATCCCTTGGGGATAATGGAATGATGTCTGATGATCTTTTTACAGACTGGGAAGACTAATGAGGAGCAGGAGACCAAAATCCGTAAAACTGAGCATGCTCTTGAAGTTAAAGTGGCTGAGGTAATTTTAAAGTCTCTGCGGAAGCCCATTTTTCTAGATTGGGGTTGGTGCTTATGCTCAGTCTACGTCTCTAAAATTGTCTTCAGGTGGAAATGTGGAAGGCGAAATTTGAAGCTACTCTAAAAGCAAAAGTGTTAAATGAGGTATTAAGTTGCATGAATTCTCTCTCTCTCTCTCTCTCATTTTAACTGTCTCCCAATGTCTATCTATATTCTTTTTGAGGTAAGTGTAAATTCAGAAAAATCAGTCAACTGAGTTTCTTAAGAACATAGAATTTAAAGATTTTGTTTAAGTTTGTCATTGAATTAAGTTTCATTCTTTGCAGGTTAACGAAGATCGGATAAATGAAGCTCATAAGAAGATTGATGATTTGGTTTCCAAAATAGAGAATGTGAGTTTTTTTTTTTTCATTGTAACTGTCTCCCAATGTTTGTTTATATTCTTTTTGAGGTAGTTGTAAATTCAGAAAAATTAGTCAAGTGAGTTTCCTAAGAACATAGAATTTGAAAGTTTTGTTTAAGCTTGTCATCGAATTAAGGTTCATTCTATGCAGGTTAACGAACTTGAAAAGGAATTACAATCGCAAAGTCATGAGAAAGGGGACTTGAAAGACCGGGTAAATGAAGCTGAGAAGAAGATAGATGATTTGATTTCAAAAATAAAGAATGTGAGTTTTTTTTTGTCATTTTAACTATCTCCCAATATTTGTTTATATTCTTTCTAAGGTAGTTGTAAATTCAAAAAAATCAGCCAAGTGAGTTTCTTAAGAACATAGAATTTGAAGGTTTTTGTTTAAGCTTGTCATGAAATTAAGGTTCATTCTATGCAGGTTAATGAATTTGAAAAGGAATTACAATTGCAACGTAATGAGAAAGGGGACTTGAAAGACCGGTTAAATGAAGTTGAGAAGAAGATCGATGATTTACTTTCAAAAATAGAGAACGTGAGTTTTTTTTTTTTTTTTTTTTTTTTGTCATTTTAACTGTCTCCCAATGTTTGTCTATATTCTTTCTGAGGTAGTTGTAAATTCAGAAAAATCCGTTATGTGAGTTTCTTAAGAAAAGAGAATTTGAAGGTGTTGTTTAAGCTTGTCATAGAATTAAGGTTCTTTAAAGTTCATTTTGCAATCGTCTTCAGTAATTTAGATAACTCATCCGTTAATGGTTTAGTTGGAATCTGAAAGTGATGCGAAAACTTTGGTTTGCGTTTTTTTTTTTCAATTCACACATATTCTTTTCTTTTTTCTGTTCTCTACATATCATATGCTTTCACACATCTTTCCCTTATGTTATATATGGTATTCGAAGTAGTGTGGTGATTAGATTCAGAAGGTATTACAATTAATTGCTGTATGGTCACTTGAAGAACCTGATACCTCACTCCTACAATTTTCTCTTTTACAAGTGTGTGCTTAATTTACCGATTATTGTTGTCCTTCAATAACTGACGAGGTCCTTCAAATTTGTTCAGGCTCTGGAGAAAAAAGCCCAGGCTGAAAAGTGGGCTGAACCCCATGTGGAAACAACGAAAACTGTAAGCTAGCTATTTTCAATTTCCACTTTTGTGTAACAGTGTAGAGCTTAGTAACATTACTGGTTTGGTATTACTGTACTTTGAAAAAAAAACTGTTTTTGCTGTACTGTAGAATAAGTAGTTGTGAAATAAAGCAGCAGAATGTTTGATAAACTTTTTCGTAAAAGTGCTTTTGGAAAAAAAAAAAAACAGTATTATAGTATTTGATAAAGTTTTATGTAAAACAGATGTGAAAAAAAAGTTAAGTTTTGCAGCTTTGTGTTTTTGGCTTTTTTTCATCAAAAACTGTGAAAAAAAACTGAAGCTAAATGTTTACCAAACATAAAAAAGCTCCTAACTTTTTTTGATAGCCACTTTTTTCAGAATCACCTCAGTACCAAACTAGAGCTAAGTGAGAACTTGAAATTAATGGGGTTTCTGTTTTCGACGTGTCTAGCTATAAAATTGTTCCATGGCGTTAATAGTGTTAGGCAGGATACAATCACACACATGCATACTAGCGTGTATGCATGTGTGTTAGTATACTTGCATGTGTATGGATGCTAGTATGTTCTATTCAGTTGTGCTTTATGCATTGTTTATAAGAAGTGGTTTCCCTTTCTCACTAAACTTTATTATCCCCCATTTTCATGTCTGTCCTGTTGAAGAAATGGATCCCTGCAATCAAGGAACAATGGCTGGTGGTGAAGGATACTGTTGAACTTCATGTGATATCGTTGAGTAATACAACTATTGAAGTTTATGAGGTTTCAAAGACTACAATAGCTCCACATGTTATAAAAGCACAAGAAGTTGTTGATCTTTACTTTCAGGTATATGTATACATTTCAGTAGACAAAGAAGTTGGTCCATTCATGTTGCCTACATGCATCCTACAGCTGTATTTTTGGGTGACAGGAAGCAAAAAAGTTCAGCGAGCCATATGTTGATCTGCTGACCACTGTGACAAAACCTCATGTCGATAAGGCAGTTATTGCCTACGAGAAGTTTCTCAAATCTGCATCAACATACCATCATCAGGTATCAGCATCAATTTGAAATAACCTCCATTCATTATGCTACTGTTAGATACAAGGGAGTTTTAACGAAAAGCCCGCGGTACTGTTCACTTTAATGAAAAATCATATTTTTACACTAAAAAGTCAATACTGGTACTATTTACTTTACCCTTTATTTTGTCATTTTCGTTAAAACTCAAAGTTTTCAAGTCATTTTCATTAGTTTTCCTTTATTTTTTCAATGGTTGATTGCTACAAGTTCGCTTATTATTCCTGTGTTTTCCATTTTCTTTTTCTTCTCCATTTGATGACGATAATTATGAACTGCTATGACCAATCAATTCATCGTAACATAAGATGACATAAATGTTTTATCTGCTATCTTATAGTGACTGCGTTGAACAGTCTACGGTTCATATGTTACTTGCTGTTGAAGACTGTTACTGCATGTTGTGAATGAATTACGGTTTCTTTTCTATTCCTTTTGATGTTCTTGCCATGGTGGATGCACCCGTAGCTTAAGCCATTCACCGAACCAGCTATAGTAGTTTATTAAATTTTGTAATCAATATTTCTTCAAGGTTCAAGGGACAGTAAAAGATTTGCTGAAGAGGCATGAACTGACAAGACCTCTTGCTATAAAGGAGTTGGAGTGGTTTGCGGTAAGTGTAGTGTAATGAAATCAATCTTCTTGCATTTCTTTGTTTGTTCTGTTTTCTTCTTTCTTTGAAATTTATGTTTGATCGCCTTATTTAGTCGCAATTAAAATGTTGCAGGCCTCGGCTTTGGTGGCCCTGCTCATCATAATTCTGTTCAGAATTTTCTCTTCACTTTTCTGGTTAGTTACTTATACGTGCTCATGCCTGCACACCGCATTTTATAAACGAAAAGTAACCCTAACATATTTCTGTTTGCTGATTACGACTTTGTGCGTCGTTATGCAGTACAAAGACTAAAAAACCTGTTCCAGGTTCCAACCATGCGCGTCGTAACGCTAAAAGGGGCCATCCAGAGAAGTAAGCTGCTACTGGCTTTGTTTACATGTCCTTTTTCCGTGCATGATTGAATCGTCTGTGTAAAATGTTAGAAACTGTGATGCACCAGTTAGACGTTAAGATAAGTCTAGGAGTTGGTGGTGGTGGGCGGCTTTTACTTATGTTGTTGAAAGGTGTATTTTAGTTTATCTTTTTAGTGTATTTGGAATAAAAGCTGACAAACTACATATCAATATTATTCTATATAAGTGGGGTTACGATCATAAATAATCTTTGAATTTACAACACTCGCTATTTGATTTTTGAATTTCAAAATCGATCTCTGAAATCAACTAGCACACATCAATTTGATTCATAATATTAATTTTTGCTTAATGTTCTGGTGACATGTCCAATAATATGGTGTTACGTGCATTATTCAAAAAATATTTAAAATTATTTGAAGTTCAAAAATTAAAAAGTATAAAAGTTTATAACCATAAAAAAATAAAATAAAGGGGAATGTTAACTGATATAAAGAAGTAGGTGGGTACAAATTATCAAACAAAATACCCAAGACAAAATCATTTTCACAATAATAAAAAGGTAATAATTCCATGGCACTTTAATGATAATGCTCTTAGATGATTCCCTTATTTAATCATCTACCCCGACTCTTTCAAGCAAAAGTATTTCAATATACGCCCGTTCAAAAATTGACGGTGAGATTTTTGATGATATTCTATTGCTCTTTCAAAGTTTCAAACATGACATCATCTTTTTTGAATTCCACCCGTTGAATAAAATAGTCGTCCTCTAACTTTGTCAAGGGATGATCTAAAAAGTTTATCTTTTTAATCTAATGCAAAGGTCGCTAACATCTTTCTAGAAAACTTGGTTCGCTTTGTTAGTCACCAGTATTGTCTTTTTGTTAATTCGAGTTAAATGGTCAAAAGAATGTACGTATGACTCAGCAAATTGAAGGTCTTTTAACAAAAAATTTGTTTCTACCTCGACTTTTTGCAACAAAAAATATTTCAATTTACGCTTTTTCGAAAACTAATGATGGCTATTTGATGATATTCTATTGCTATTTCAAGCATGCCATCGACAAAGGATAAATTTTGAATTCCACTCGTCGAATATAATAATCGTCCTCTAATTTGGTTAAAGAATGACTTAAAACATTTATCTTTCTAAATTAAATACAAATGTCGGTAACATAGTTTTGGGAAATTTGTTTCTCTTTATAAATCACTGGCACTACCTTTTCGGTAGTACGTTACAAATCAACTAGTTTAGCGAAGGTCTTGGAACAAAAATCCTATCTTATATCTCAACTTTTTATAGTAAAAAACACTTCAATTACGCTCTTTCAGAAATCAACGATGATACTTTTCATGATATTCTTTTGCTATCTCGAGCTTGACATCAACAAGGATTTCCTTGTTTTTCGTATTCAATGTCACGTTTATCTTCAAATTTGAGAAAAATGAAAGTCATATATGTTGTATTTTCAATGAGGAATTTCTATCGTCTATTTATCTTTATGTTAAAGGAAATTTAGGTTAATAGAGATGATTTTTTAAATAAATATGATCTTGTAGTTTGTTCATATCTGATAATGTTTTTGTAATAAAAACAGTTTCCACTTGAAAAAAGTCAAAATTAAACAATTCAACGAATTTTTACTTGTATAAAAATGAAAATTACTCATCTCTTTCAAACACGAAATGTTACATATCCTAATAACAATCTATGTTTTTAGAGATCTAAAAGCCCCATATTTTTATTAGTAGCAAAAATATATAATTACTAAAAAAACCCAATTAGCATATGCGTAGGCGTATACCATGAGCTAATATTATGTTTGTAAATTCAAAGTAACACATGAAAGTAATAGCCATTAAGTAGGGTTGTTTTGAAATTACCGTTTTCTTTCTATTTTTTTTTTTTGGCAAATTTCTTTCTAATTAATTAATTTAATATTTTGAGATTTTACTTAAAAAAAAAAAAAAAACAATTTTTGGTGTCATGAATTAGTTGACAGTTATATTCATTTTTGTTTTTTTTTATTTTTGGTACCAAAAGGGTATTTAATATTTGTAGTCGGAAGAAATCAAACTCGAACTAAAAAAAACACTGGAAAAACTGTCGCTGTGAGAGTTTCGTTGGCCGTGATTGCATGCTCCCATGGCGGCCTCCAAGCTCGCGATTCTCTCAATCTTTCTTGCCCTTATTTTCTCCCAGATTCGGGCTGACGCTTCAGTCCCGGCGGAGGAAGACGAGCCAGTGAAGCGCCCCCGATCGGACGGCCCTGATTCGGCCGCTCTGAAGATCGAGTTGGATCAGCTCAGGGCTAGGATCCACTCCCTAGGTTCGTTTCTATCGTCTTCTGCGAATTATAGGGTTTATTGGACGAAATTTGTGATTTTTCAAGTGTTTGTGGGGTCGATTTTTTCCCTCGGTTTTCTCGCCATCCAAACAGATTTTACTGAAGTTAGAGATCCTTTGTTTTTTCACTTGGGAAGTGTTTTAATTTCTTTCCATTTATAATTTTGCGTTTCTGTTTTGGAATCCAAGTAATACTGCCAATTAGCTGATTCTGGTGCTTACTTGTAAAGCTTTGAGTTTTCAGTTTTTATAATTTTAATCAGAGCAATAAAGATGCTTAATTGTTTAGTTACTTTGTGAGTAGAAACAACATCGATGTTAGTTAAATTTCAATTTCGAGCATTTTTAAGTGTTTTTGAGTGCTGTTTGGGTTTTCCTGGCTGACGGTTTGTGTTTCTTTAATGTTCAAGAATTCGACGTCGGTGAGAAGATTAAGGAACTAAAAAAGAAGAATGAGCTTATAGAAGAGAAGGAGAAAGTAATCCAAGAGAACTCGGATAGCATTTCTTCGTTGCAGAGTGAAATTGATTCTCTCCAGGTTAGGCACATTTGCATGAAATGCCAGAAAACCAATTACCCAATCTGTTTTTTGAATGACGGTTTGTTTATCTGCACATTGATTCTGTGTTTCTTCTGTATATTAGAAAAAAGGGTCATTAGATGCTGAGCTTGGGAAGGCTCATGCACGTGCCGGTGAACTAGAGAAAAAGGTTAGATACGATGAAATGGACTATTTTACTCTGTGAAAACCACTACATTCTTGTTGCCGAAAAAAGAGAATACCACTGAATTTTCATTTCATTCTCCTATGCAGGTTAATGAACTTAAAAAGGAATTGCAATCGCAACGTAAGGAGAAAGAGGGCTTGGAAGCCCGGGCGAATGAAGCTGAGAAGAAGATCGATGTTTTGCTTTTAAAAATAGAGAATGTGAGTTAGCTGAATGTGCTCATAGTGAAAGTCCTTAGTGATTCTGATTATAAGAACAGAACATTGTTTTGGATTGGATTTAAGAGTTAATTAAAGAATGATAGTGAGGGAAGATGAAAGGATACTAAAAGTTGTCTTATTTAACTCAACTCTGTCAATCGATCACTGTTTTGTTTGGGTTTGTATTTTTGTGATTTTGTAGATATTGTCAATTCGTTTCATGTCCCTTTTGTGATGAGTCCTCTGTTAATTTCCCCAGAAATAAGTTTGTTGATGTATATGTCTTTTGTATAGAATGTACGCTGTTGGTGGGCAAAACAATGTTAGTTTACATCCTTCTTTGGCACCAATGTAGACACAATTGGGATGCTGTAGTGCTTTTTGTATTATTATCCTGACTTCTATATAATGCTGAACAAAAAAGTCTACTTCCTTTTTCTTTCATATCATTTTATAGTAGTTGTAATGCTACTTCAAATTTGCTTAATGTTATCCCGTGGGGATAGTAGAATGATGTTTGATGATCTTCATACAGATTGAGAAGACTAATGATGAGCAGAAGACCAAAATCCTTAAAACCGAGCTTGCTCTTAAAGTGGCTGAGGTAATTTTTAAGTCTCTGCGGAAGCACATTTTTCTAGATGGGGTTGGTGCTTATGCTCAGTATATTTTTTAAAATTTGTCTTCAGGAGGAAATGTTGAAGGCAAAGTTTGAAGCTACTCTAAAAGCAAAAGAGTTAAATGAGGTACTAAGTTGCATGAATTCTCTCTCTCATTATAACTCTCTCCCAATGTTTGTCTATATTCTTTCTGAGGTGGTTGTAAATTGAGAAAAATCAGTTAAGTGAGTTTCTTAAGAACATAGAATTTGAAGGTTTTGTTTAAGCGTGTCATAGAATTAAGGTTCTTTAAAGTTAATTTTGCAATTGTCTTCAGTAATTTAGATAACTCATCCATCAATGGTTCAGTTGGAATCTGAAAGTGATGCGAAAGCTTGGTTTGCTTTTTTTTTTCTTTTCAATTCGCACATATCCTTTTTTTTTTTTTTTCCTTTTTCTTCTTCTTCTTCTTCTTCTTCTTCTTCTTCTTTTTTTCTGTTCTCTATATATCATATGGTCTCACACATCTTTCCCTTGTGTTATAACTTATATATGATATTCAAAGTAGTGTGGTGATTAGATTTTGATTGCGGTCCTTAAAGAATATTTTGTTTTTTCTTTTGAATCAGGTGCATGGTGCATGGATTCCACCATGGCTTGCTGCACATTTTATGCAGTGTCAGGTAAACTGAGTGCATTTCACTGTTGTAAAGAAAAGTTAATTTTTTTCAAGGAATTGAAGTCATTATCAACTTGCAGTCCTTTGTAGAGACATGCTGGAATGTGCATGGAAAACCTGCAGTGGATATTGCTATTCAGAAGGTATTACAATTAATTGCTGTATGGTCCTTCAAATTTACTGAGTATTATTATCCTTTAATAACTGACGAGGTCCTTCAAATTTGTTCAGGCTCTGGAGAAAAAAGCCCAGGCTGAAAAGTGGGCTGAACCCCATGTGGAAACATTAAAAACTGTAAGCTAGGTTAATTTATTTTATTTTCAATTTCCACGTTTGTGTAACAATGTAGAATTTTGCATCATTACAACCTGCAATTGATGGTGTTGCTGTTTCCGACGTCTCTAGCTATAAAATCGTTCCAGGGTGTTCATAATTTTGGGCAGGATACAGTCACACACATGTGTGCTAATATGTATACATGTATGTTAGTATGCATGTATGTATGTATGGATGCTAGTATGTTCTCCTATTCTGTTGTGGTTTATGCCTTGTTTATAAGAAATGGTTTGCCTTTCTCACTAAACTTTATTATCCCCCCTTTTCATGTCTGTTCTATTGAAGAAATGGATCCCGGCAATCAAGGAACAATGGGAGGTGTTGAAGGATACTGTTGAACCTCATGTGAAATCGT